ATTTTCGCAGAAAACAAATCCCGAAATTCCCCACCTCCGCTTTGATTCATTCAAGATTAATCTTTGGTAAAACAATTTTCATTCGGGATAGTTGTGAATAATTTGATGGTTTAAAAATACTGTACTGCTGTGTAAAACTTCTTCTGGCGCCGACGGATCTAATTTTCTCGTTTCCTTTCAGGGAAAATGGTCCCGTTATTTATGAATTGCGGGAATGGAGCTCGGCTTTTTCGAAGTGACAAGAAAATTCTTTTCCCGACAAGAAAGAAGTGCCAGGTATCGGTTGAATACCGTGGGCGTAGTAATGAGCGAGATAATCCTAGAGGACTTATTCTGGCTCGTCCCACCTATTTTTGAAAATCCTCGCGGAAATTGCGGATCTAAAGTGAGACCTAAATGAATAATGTCAGGTTATCGTAGGAAGGTTCTCTCTTGCGACGAGAAAGATACCCTTTCATTCCAGGAATAACTTCACGTTGTTCTACTGTCAAAGGGGTACATCAAAGATGCGTTAAATCTTTAAGCAAATGCCTTTAAATTTGTGAAAACAATTTATAAAAATATCTACCACACAAAGCTGTGGTAGAATTGTGGTAGAAATAATCACGACAATAATAAATGGCTCATTAAACCATAAAAGAAGGGCTCAAATATTACTTTTAGCGTTACTGGGTACAAAGTAACATGTGAAAATCGGAGAGGATTTTTGTCATTGTTGTTGTTTAAAAGAACGTATAATACGGCATGGAAAATTGAGCCAGTAATAAACTCACCATGGAAAAGATTAATCATGTGATCGTCAATTAATCTTTAAAAAAAAACTTTTTCATTTCGACTGTTGAAAGCAGAGGTCCGTGAATGGACGATTTAAGTACTGTATGCCGTTCTCTTTTTTCTTATTTTAAGAAAAAGAGTTTTCTTATTTTAAGAAACCAAGAAATCCTTCATGAATCACGGTAGAATGAGAATAGGAGTAATTATGTGGATGCTGATTCCATACATATTTTTTCACATTTTGGAAGATTCATTCTTGGTTCAGGATCACAAATCAATGGTTACAAATGTCTTTTCAGTTTTGCTTATAGATTTTCAGCTTTTGGATAATATTTTTGATCCGAAGAAACCAATTGCTCCTCGCAGAGTTTTCAAGATAATTCTACAGTATTTAAGACATGTATGTATACGAAAGTACAGTGTGCTAAGTTTAAAATGTTGCCTCAAAGCATCGATTCCCAGCAAAGTCATCGTTGAATCATTTATATAATTCCACACTTCTGTAAGTCTATATAGTGACTTGGTATTTATTGAAAACAGGAACAATATGCTTTAAAAAAATGCTCGTATTCCCGATTCCGAATTTGCTGGCAGAGACTTTTGGGCAACTCTTCATGCAATCTTCAACGAAGCGAACGTAAGCCCTATTACATGGAGACAAAAATGGGCTAGGGTTTGGAATACAGTATAACCCACGGCATCCTCCGGCCGGAAACCCCTCTTTTGTGGGGGTAAGAAAAACCCACTGCTTGCTGCATCCTCGCTCAAACTGAGCGTATATATATACGAGAAGGATAGGAAATCCCCGTTGGGAGTTCATATCCGTCTTCGCACATCAAGCGGAGAGAAATGTTCTTATATGAAGAATTTTCTTCCCTCTTCCTCGACGCATTTTCGATCCATTTCTCTCTTGATTTATTTTCCTGATCCCTTATCTCACAACATATCGAATGTATGTGGAAGCTTCAATATTGCATCTTCCTCGGAAGTACTTCAATTTTCTCTGGGACATCAACGAAATTGCGTTGCACTCGTGTCTCGGAAAGTGTCATTTGGAAACCACGCAAGATTAATTCGAGACCTTTTTTCCGATACTTTACACTTTTATTCGTTTCATGGGTCACTTCTGGGGGTTCAATTTTGAAGCCGCGATTTTCAAATAATAACGAAATCCAAGTCATTGAATAAAGTACTGATGTTTGTGCGAGACGCTGTCCTCGATACAACCATTCCTCTTACGAAATCGATACATTTCAATGGAAAAATTCAAGATTAATTTGAGACTCTGATATTTTCCATGTTCGAAAAACAAATGGTCTTTAGGGTCCACTTATTCTGGGTGCTAAATTTTTAAGCCGCGATTTTTATATGAAAAGAAAAAAGTCCTGGAATAAATACTGACGTTTTTTCCAGACACTGTCATCGATTTAATTCATTCCTCTTTTGAAATCGGAACGTGTTACTGGAAAACAGCGCAAAATTAATTAAAGGCCGTTCTTTTTGATACCTTTCACTATTCACTTTTGAAAAGTGAATGGTCTTTTAATGGGTCACTTCTGTGGGTTCAATTTTGAAGCCGCAATTTTAAAATAAAGTATTTTAAAATCAAATCAGGAAATGTTTACTGTATCTCAATTGCAAGATGCTACCATATTGCAATTTATTTTGAAATATATAAAGAAACATATTCGTTTTCCTATTAGATCCCCAAAAAAAGTATGTACACTGTACAGTATTTCATATCATTTCATCCCAAGAATGGACTGGAGGTCATCAACATAAGATTCGTCTTGCATGATTCATGAGCGAAAAAAAAATCAACGATCCAGATTGAAGTAAGGGTTGACTATTCTGGAATTGAGATTGAGAATTTCTGTTGAGTGGAATCTGATTTGTAAAACCTACGGCTAATGGATTAAAGTAACAGTGTATCTTTCCCGGAAATCAGGGATAGCGGAATGATTGAATCGAGAACAGTGTCCAGAAAAAAATACATCCGCAGTAGTACTTATTCAATGACATGACTTTTACTTCTTTGAATGCTGGAAGTTTGACGGAGGGTGAGAATAACAGATTTTCGAACCAAAAAAAAAAAGTCTCGATAAACCCAGTGCTTCAGCTGCCGAGCGATGTTGATGATACATTTTTGTATAGAATACACTCGCGTTATCTTGAGGCTTTCAAAGAAACTCACCGATAGTCGTCACAATAGTTCCAGAAAAGAAGAAAGATTGTCCGAAGCTCCAGTTTCTTCCACTGGAAGCGTTGCGGGTTGCTGACACGCCACGGTCGTGCGCCAGCAGTACTTCCTCCAAAAGCTCTTCCAACTCCTCCTCTGCAAAAAAGAAAACGAACAATTTAAAAACAGCACGTGAAAAAAATCAACCCTTTCTATAGAAGGCAGATTCTGAAAAGCACTGAAAAATTCAGGGCTCCAGACGGTACCCAGAAACGGAACTCTACTCATTACTGTCTCATTATTATTACTTTTGTTGATGTGTGGGCTGTTGAGAGCGTTTTTTAATGCGTTTGAGGAGTAATGTGACATTCACTGCTGCAATTATTAATTTTCTTCTTGACGCGGACTTTTCGAAAACAGCCTTTTATTTAACTAGACTGAAAAAATGTCTTTGGCAATGAAGAATAACTACCCCAATATTAACCTTGTACAGTACATTTGCACTAGTTGATGAAGTAAAGGCAAACGCGAAACTCTTCAACGAGTTGGTACTGGAAATAATTGGATTTATTTCGAGTTATTTGCTCAAAAAAGCCAAAGTTTTGTTTTAACGTCGACCTGAAGTGGTTGCATTTAAATTTTTATGCACACTGTTCGATTAAATGGACATTTTGAAAAATGGAAGGATAGAAATTGACAATCGCTTCATTCGCACACATCTCCGACTGAAGCAACAGGTTCGAAAATGAACAAATTGCATCACTGATGTAAATAACAGCCGTTCCTCCGAAGTACTGTAAAATAGATCTACGGTACTACGCTATTATTCCTAAAAAAAAAATTAAGTGGGCCTTAACCTGAGGGTACATCTTAATTACTATAATGGAAAAATATGCACAAATTATTACGGTAATGTAACATACACGTTTTCAAGGTGGAATATAATGATATCTTCATCGTGGTGGATCAGTAACAATATTTTTTTTTACAAAAGAACTGTGATAAGCGAGATAATTTGCTGACGCAGAGAACATTCATTTGGTAGCTTTGCTTTCAAATTTAGAAAATAAAACTATACTTCTTAACATCACAAACATTACAATTTTTTTTACCAGTTATTAATATGTATTCGGGCAGTGCTTTAAAATATCGCTAAACGCGAAAGCTTTTTCGTTGGTTGAAGCGAGCTAGCGTTTTTTGGGGCGCTCTTTATGGAAATTTGACCCGAAGGAAGGCATCGAAATGATGAGCTGTCATGCTTTTACGAATTCAGACCTTCGTGATCGCGATAGAGAACACATAGGGTGCAAAAAGAGGGTGCATGTAATGAAGGCAATCCGAAACCCTCGCCTGTACCCGTATTTCGAGTGTAAGCAAGGGTTTCCTCGAAGAAAACCATCCCTTTCTGCGGTTTTCATATACCCTACCATCAGCTAGGACTTCTTGAAATATTCATGTGTGCTGACAGAGGAAAAGTCGCGACTTGTTCAAGAGTTTCCCTCCATATATACAGTAAGTTATTATTTTTCGCCTTTTTTTTTGGGCAGTCCCAGAAATTCAATAAAAGGGGGGACCCGACTCAACTCCTGACGCTGAAGCTTGTTATTCCCAATAACATTTGTTATGTTTGAAATACGTGACATTTTCGAGGCAGGTTAACTTTTCCACGCTCTGTTTGAATAATAAACAATTATTGATCATACGACTGCTCCAGGACATTCTCTTCTGTCTACAAAGATATCACAGGAATACAGTCAGCTATAATGATTCAACAAGCGGAATATCTCTCCCTGCTGATATAAGGATAACTTTAGATAAGGCTTCAATATGTCGACGTAAAATATCCAGTGCCTCGTATCATTCCCATAGCAATTCATCAGGGAGTTTTTAAATTTCCCGGTGCATTTTCATTTGACTCAATTTTTGAAAATCAGTCATTACAATATTGGAAGAATATCTCATGAGAGTTATTTTTCGTAACGCTTATTTTTGCAGCTTCTTCAAAAACGAAACGAAGAGAGGGTTTTGATTTCCGCTCAGAAGCTCTGGAAGTACAGTAGTTGACTAACGAAATTAATCCTTCCAATTTTTCAATTTTTTGAAACAATGAATGAGAAAATGAAAGGTTATTTCAACAAATCATTTTGAGCAGGATTTGGATCTAGAAAATATTCGGGAAAATGGAAAGACTCGCAAATATATTTGACTCTGATAATACGTCATATCCAGTCATCCTTCTGGTTAATTGAATAATTTTCTATTTATAGGACTCCTTCATCTTTGAATGACACATTGTTATATGTTTCATGGCCCGAAACACCACTGCTGCCATGAAAAAATGCCAATTTCTCCAGGAAGTTTCCCTGCCAAAGTGTACTATTTGCCTTCAACAGGTTTCTGAAATCTTAAAGGATCAAGATACAGTAAACTGTTGGCCTTAGATGATTTCTCATCAAAGATTATCTCTAAATTGTTCATTCAACTAAACCTCATACAGAAACAAGCTGAAGACCTTGTGCTTTAAATTAATTTTTACATATATTTTGTTTTAAATGTCAGGGAATGAATGGGTGTATGCATACATACAGAAACAAGCTGAAGACCTTGTGCTTTAAATCAATTTTTACATATATTTTGTTTTCATTGTCAGGGAATGAATGGGTGTATGCATACATGTCAGATGTCCAGTTGCATTTTGTGAATTGTATCTTCTTTTATTTTTGTTATCAATTTATGCTCTGTTTCCTGCTCTAAAGTGATTAAATGTCTTTGAGTGGATTTGGGTTGGGTGGGAAGTGGGTTTGGATGTGGAAATCTTGATTCAACCTTGTGAATGCTGAAAAGTGGCAAATAAAGTGCTGTGTTCATTCATTCATTCATTCAGGTTTAAAATGTTGTTTGAAAAACCAGTCTGCAAGCTGTTTCCTTTCGTTTCACAGGCCTGATGTTGAAAGGGCTGTACACCTTTTGCATGGAAAACAATGATTAAAAAAATATATAAATCCAAGAAAACCCTCTTCTTCTCACTCGCCACTAGAGGAGATATTTAGCCCTTGAGTTATATGTGCGTTGGTGTGACTTCAACTGGATGGCAGAATAAACATTACACTATATTCCACTAATGTAGCATATACAGTACAGTCAGATCTTTGTGATCTATCTTCGTGCGAGAGTTCTTCAGAAAATGAAGAATGATGTGAGAGCATCTATCTCATAAGGATTAGTGTAAATGGTAAATGCGATGAGATGATGTTCTCATCGGTGGTCATGTCAACACCCAGCACCGGGAGTCTACAAAGCACAACAAAAGCACTAAAAAGCAGTTTGTTTTGTAGGTGTCATTTTTTATACAAGTTGAACCTAGATAACTCAAATCCATGAGTGGATTTTTTTTTTCAAATCACCGTCTAAATTCCCTTAGGAACAAGGCATTAAAATCCTCCTTAACTATAGAAGGTTTTTCCTTTCACACCTCCAAACATCAAATTTTCTGAGGCCTCTTGACTATTATTTTATTCAATCAGTATGAAGAGAAAATCAATAATAAAAGTTCAACTTGATGTGTTTTGAAAGGCAGTGAAAGACTGCTTGGGTGAATGTATCCGTGGCTTCAAGTTCAGAATCCTGTCAAAAAATCCAGGAAGCAATATACGGTATATATAAAGGCCCAGAATATCAATATCACCAATCACGATTTCCTGTAACTCTTCTTTCTTTAGCACCCCAACGGAAATGCTCATTTCCCCCCCAACTGGAAACATCCCGAACTCCATATTATTTCTGTGCTAGTCCCTTGGAAATTCTACTCAAATTTGTTCGACTTATGTTGACTCATGAGTCATGACTGAGGCAAAAACACTGCAAACTCACCAGATAAACAATAGTGGTTGCTGACAAAGTCCCGTTTGGTCGCAGCTAAACTCTTGATGAGACCCAGCTCACCCGGGGACTCGATGGCTGAAAAGATGGACGCGCCCAGGACCAGGAATACGAGGTAAAAAAGGGTGAGAAGCAACAGCCTCAACGAGCTCCGCGCCAACTTGGGGGTCGCGTAGGGTCGGTGTTCGTCGTCCACGTGCGCCGGAAGTCGCTCCAGGAACGAGTTCTTCACACTAGCCGCCATCTTCTCCCCCCTCTCACTAATGCACGTCATTACACAAAAGGCACATGTATGAGGAGAAAAACGGCAGGAACCCGAATGACAGGTTGAAAAAAAATACCAAAAAGAGACAAGCACCCAAATTGAAATCACTATTGATGGATGGAAAAGGCAAACCGGACGAGAGAGAAAAGCGCCGCGGGGTGAAAATCACGCGGGATGAACAAACACCTAGGTAATATAAAAGGCGCAAGTACGCATAAACAAAATTACACTGGTGCAGATATTAACTGACGAAAATCCCTGACGAATGATCGATTCATTGTTTATTCCACACGTTTATTTTTTGTTGATTTTCTGATGAGTTCCGTATATTTGCCCGAAATTTATCTAAAAACGGTTCCGTGAGAAAATGAATTATGAAAAATGATGAATTTTGCGCTGACACTTATTCTCCGAGTCTTTTTCTCGTTTTCTGATGTGACGGTCGCATATTCTGGGAGATTCATCGCAAAAAGAAGAGTTCTGCAGTTCTACGTGGGAAAAAAAAAAAATTGCTGCTGTGCTGGGAAGTCGAGTACAGTACTGCGCAATTTTGGATCAATCAATCAATGAGGCAACGGATACTGTGGCATTAATTACAGTACAAGAAAACCTGAAAGCAGGACGCTTGCCTGATTTCAGCGAATTTTATACAGGGACGGACAGTATTTGGATCATGAGGGATTTCTTGAAAATTTCACGGATCAAGTGAAATTAGCGCTCAGAAAGGTATCTATATATGTTTTGGCAGTTTTTCTACTCTGAATATTTCAAAAGTGGAGACACTGGGTGTTAATTTCCCATTATTCGCGTGATCATCACAAAAGCTGGGAGAACACTCAAATTAAATGTTGCCTAAATCTACGGAAATTCAATTTCGTCGCTTAAACTGATTTTTTTTATCTTTGCTGTAAAACAAGTAAAATTGGAGAAAATGCGAGTATTTTTCCACTTCTACTACTCTGTTCTACAATCATTCCCTTCGAGCTTCATTCGCCAAAATGAAATTTTTGCTAAAGCCTGCGTACGTCCTGCATGGCCTATATGAATCTAGAATCTAATGCAGAACAAGTATTCACTGGTAATTTATGCTCCGAAGTATTCAAATTCCAACTGCATTCGAATATGGATCGAGAGACACATCTCCAGTACGTGATTGAACGAAGTCGTGTGTATATAAAGCACGGTACTGCCCTTTATTCGTAATGCGAATGCACACACACATACTCCGGATTTACGGCAGGAATTATCGACTTAGCTCCGAGAGACGAGTGGGTCGCAACTGACAAGGTGGGGTTTGGGTTCCGGGGATCGAGGCGCAACGCCCGCAAGACCCGAGCCCGGAAAAAACGGAGCCCGGGGTCCATTCGCGTCGGTGAACCTTGGCGCACAGGGATACCATCACAGCTCCTTTGCTCATTAAGAGCATTACCGCGTTCCATTATCCGACGCCACCTGCGATTCTGAGTCAAATCGAAACGGCAGCATAACATGGGTTACATTTGCGAAACATTCCAAAGAGCTCAGCAGAATGGGCGACCTTTTTATCCCATTTTCAGTGCATCGATGTACGTAAAATAAAAAGCATGCATGAAATCTTGCTTTTCAAGTCTGTAAAAGTTAATTCCAGTAATGCTCAAAAGATTGGATTATTACTCGGTTTCTCCAAAAATTGCTGCACACGCAGTTCATGATCGAGTAAGTTAAGCGATAAAATGTATAACTGAGAATTTTCAAAAAAAAAAAATTATTCCTCGGTTTCTCCAAAAATAGCAGCACATCAGGTGGTTCATGAATAAGTTGGGCGGTATAACGTATAACTTCAGCATGAAAGCATGTGGTTCAAGATTCAGGGCACAATGATATCATTCATCTACCCATGAATAACAAGAAAAAATCGAATACATACCAGAGAGCCTATGAATAAGAATTCGCAGAAATTATCTTTCGAGTTCCCTTTCCGGTAAAAGTTTAGAAATATATCATCAAAATCTTCCAATGATGAATGCCCAACAGAGAGTATGCAGCTTTTTTAATGCATCGTCGACCTGGACTTGAAGCTCAAGTTTTCATTTTTATTATTCAAGATACAGTACTTTGGACATGGATACCAGGCAAAAATTCAAAAAATGTGCATATTTCTACGTCACACACTGATGAGCTCTATACTGTGCATTTAATATTTATGATTTCCATGGTTTTGTAATTATCTGGATGATTTCAATGCGCCTTCAATTCTCCTCTCAGTTTCTTGCTTTGGGTTTTTTTTCAACCACGGGTGTTTTCCACCTTATGCTCCAAATGAAAAAAGGCGAAGACTGCATTGCTACAAAAATCAATGGGAAATATGTCTATAGAGATATTTGTACTCTTCTTCCCCAACCAAAATTCTTTTTATGGAACCTCATGGTACATGTATTACATGCTTTGAATATATTAAGCTCCCTGAATTTCTAATACAGTACAGTTACAGGTTTTCCGTTTCCGATTGCTTTGCTATATGGATTTGGGAACCAATATAGCGCCGTTATTTTTTTGGAAACCAACACTTGAAATCTCACATTTCAAGCATCGCTTTTCAACTTCTTCGATCTCCTGATGCGTTTTTCTCTTGAGCTTCGTTCCTTGCCTTAGGCCTACTTTGGGGATCACTGATCAGGTGCTCTTTGCTCCCCGACAAAAATAAAATTCAGGAAAAACTATTTTAAAAAAACTCCCTTGCTTTTTTTTTACATAAGTTTTCTGAAAGCATAAATTAAAATTGTCGACTTGATTATACAGCATATGCTGTTTGACTCTTTTTTTTATTTTTCCCGCTTCAGCCCAACAAAAATCACTCAACTGAAAACGTTTGTATCTGACACAGCACTGTTCCGTGGCGCTGATAATCGACAGATATGTTATTGTTCTCGAACGCTGAGGTCCACCGGTGCTTTGTGACCCAGTGCCGCTTTTCTTTTTTTCTAGGGCGACTTATACTACACTATTGGGGGGTTGAATAACACCACAGGGGGGTAAACGTGTGAAGGGAAATGAAGGGCTGCTCTAGTGTCGACAGCGACGGCTCGACAACAACTGAGAGATCTGGCAACCAGGCGCAACGTCCTGGTTGTCGAAAATGGCAAGATTCGGGTTTCGCGGCTGCTCCTGACACGTTACCCTTGCGGGGGTGGATGTGAAGCTTCCGCGGAAAGGACGCTATACGTGTGTCAAGAAGTTCAGGGAACAATTTCCCTCAACTTCCGTACGCTCACATAAAGAACAACGGGTTTTGAGAACCTGAACTTTCCATAATTCCGTAACTAAGAGGTCGTTCGAAAGTATGAGCGTTCCAGGTCATGATACGGATTTTGAATATTTCAGAGAAAATCTGATATGAATTTTAAGACGGCCAGAATGCGGCCTGTTGAATTCCGATGTTCATGACCTTCAAAGGCATCGTGAACTTTAAAATAATATATCCTGGGTGATATCTCTGCACTGAGGAATTATTTTCTTTAAAGTTTTATGTGGACTCTTCGAACAGAGTTGAATGCACACAGAAACAGGAATGCCACTTCAATCAAAACTTTGAGAAGCCGCCATCATTTGTTTGGGAAGTTTTTCTAATGGGTTAATGGGGTTGGCAGCTTATTATTAAAGATGATCAAATAGTATGAAAATCAATTATGAAAGAAAGTACTGTACAGTTTTATTCTTCTACAAAACCGTCGAAATAACCGCGGAATGCATAAATTATGTCTAGCTAATGGCCAAAATAAGTCAAACAGTTAACTTGTGCATTTTTGTTTTTTTATTTTATATCTCTAACAGCAGAAACATGTTGATGAGGCATTGAAAATAAATTAAATTGGCATGAGTTTATTTCAGCTTTCGTTAAATTTTTTCAGGTGATAAATGGTGTTTCAAAAGGGCTTCCAATGTTACTATCAACATAGGGAAGATCTGTTTTTTTTTATGAATTGCGGGTTGCTGAAGGTGATACAGTATCATATTGGTGGGTATTTTGTGGGATTTGCCAAGTTCCTTTGATCCATGGTACAGTACTCTAAAACCTGATGGATACTCAGATCATCTTGCTCTATCAAGACCCCAACCCATGGTCCATAGAAGTTTTTTTTTGCTGGTCACTGGGACATTTTTTTCAGGATAATAAATTTTTCAAAAGTAGCAATGAAGTCTGTTATCTTTATCTGCAATTTTGGAAAGGCAATCATAGTTGAAATTATCTGATGAAAAAATAAAAGTTGGCTTTTCTCATAATAAGACTTCACGCAGTCAAATTTTAACCTGGTGCAAAAATTATTTTGATTTCCCATTCTGAGGAACCTTTATTCAAGATCACCTCTCTAATTTTTGAAGAAATTCCACTACAGCTTCTGGTTGGTTCTTATATCTTAATTTTTGCCAAAGAGCATAAGGTTTTAAATACCTGCCATAAAGTTTTAAAAAAAAAGCTTTTTAAGTAAACAGAAATTTTAGGACAGTTCGTCAGACCACAGGACCGAAAAGGTCGTGGAACACGACTTTTAGAGGATTTTCCTTCTATACTGTACACCCTAAATGCAGACCAGCTGACTGCATTGGCTGGATAATAAAGCACAGAGGGTACAGGAAGTTTTTCCAGAGTTACTTAATATTTATTTGTTATTTGGAATCTTCAAAAAATATTTGACTCGCAATGAAGATAAAGCGAAAGATTCTGAGGTTTGCAGAATGCGGCTCCCTTTGTAAAAGTATTCTACGCATCCGATGATCTAACAGAAAATTTACTTCAACAAGTTTTTGAGGACCAGCACTTTCCATGTGTTTCTGAAGATGAAATCCCAACTAGACATTTACAATTGCACGGGTCACACAAATGGTACTGAAGTACTGCACCACATTAAATCATTTGATCATTCGGGGAAAATTCTAAATTAATCCAGCGACTGAACGGAGCGTGACCGGGAAATGGTTGGATTGCATAATGAGAGGTCCTGAGCCCTCGTCATGAGCAGGGAATTGAATGAATTCCATATGCTATTCCCTTTTAGCACTAACCCAAGGGATGGAATCGATCTGTGTGTCCAATCCATGCAAGCGTAAACCTGGTTTGTATTGATCAAACCGGATCCAAGAAAGGAGCTCTTGAGCGGTAGAAAATCCATGTCCCCTGCTCTGTTATAACTAGTGTGGCTCCAGCATTTGCCACCATCAGTGCACCTGTGCTTCAGAGACTTTTCTCACTATCACGTATAGCATGAATTAATTTCATTTGGATTTCTGAATTAAGCAGCTAGAATTCCAGTCATGTTTCAATATACGCCCTCATTGACATGGATTTCCGAATATCAACTTAGGAAGAGATGTCGAGTCTCCAGCGTGGAATGGATTTTATTGAAATCCATTAAATAAGGAATACTGTACTTCAACCCCTTCCGACGTCTTTGGTACTAAATGAGCCGCCGTTTATTATTAATTTATCCTTCAGATTTTATTCCATTCAATAATTAGTTGAATGCATACTAGCTCTTGTAGGCACGGATACCTTCGAAATCATGATATGATCTGTCAGATATTTCGACCAATATTTGACACTACCTGTAGGATACCAATTCAGATTTTCAATTCACTGTAAAATACGTATTGTCGGAAGTTTAAAAAAATTGTTCCACTGTGTCGTCTTGGTAGAAAAAAAATCGGCAAGCCAACAGTTTCTAGCTGTTTCCTAATTTGATTTTCGTAAGTTATCTGGTTAACAGAGCAGAGATCCGGCTTGCAAACATATACGATATGGAAGCAAAAAGTGAAACATTTTAAAAGAACATTTTGGCATTCTTACAATCCAGCTAAATTGTGACCGTTGTTCAGGACCCCACACTGTAGTTACGAACGTTGAATCGTCTTCGTTTTTCTTTTTTCTTCCTATTACAATCACGACCAAAAATTACATAACCTGAAAAACAAATTATTGAGGGTTGCATGTGAAAGACATTTCATCAGATCATTAAAAAAAAACAAAGCCCTTGATGCGTTTTGTGTGCAAATATTCTCTGTGAATTCTGTGTTCAGTTCTTTGAACTAATCATTTTAAAATAATTAAATGTGCATCTTTCTCAAATATCCACTGATGAGTTCCCCGCCCGGGACGAATAAAAGTTTCACTATTTTGATTCGAACGCCACCCTGTTTTTTTTTTTCTTCAGGATATGCTCCAAAACGGCGCCTTCACAGAAAAAATTCAAATATTTCGTGCAGTTTAATTCCGTGCTGCTGGCGGGATATTTGAGCACAACATATAGTCACTGTTTCCAGCGAAACAATGGAGAAAGAGCTAACAAAACTGGTGCCTCGCGTGATCGACGAAAAAATGTTGGTGATGGGGAGTAGAGCCGGGGCCATTCTTTCAACAGAGTCGGAGAAAAGCGCGGCAGGTGCAATTTTCCGGGAAGAGGGGGTCGCCTGGGACTCGGTGCAATCCCTGGTTCTGGAGTTTAAGGGTGAAGATTTATTGCCAAAATTTTCCTCTCGTCCTCTGGTTACGTTTTTCCTCCACTTTAAGCAATGCCATATGTGTTGGGCACAACCCCTAGCTGTGCCTATGGTAACTCGAACCCTTATTTTTCTTCCACGAACCCGGACGTCTAACGAACGCCAGCTGTGTTTTCATGTTCTGTAGCCATAAATTCGCAAGAGAGGCATAGAGTCGCGTAAAAACGTCACCAATTCTTGAAATGCAGACGAAATGCCGGTAATTGAAAAAAACACCCGGAATATATGCAGAACATTTCTGAAACGCAATACTGAACAGTAATTTTTCAAAAAGTCCAGCGTATATCGGTGTTAACAACTAAAAATAGCTCTTTCAGTGAATAATGATATACTGCATTCTCTCAATTCCACGGCCAGAAATATGCCTGATCACAAATCTGTGGAATTTCCGGAACTTGAAGTCACTGGACTTGAGTAACAACTTGATCCAGGAAATCTGTGGATTGGAAACGTTGCATAAGCTTCAGAAGTTGAACTTATCCTTCAACTACATCACAAAAATCCAAGGCTTGCAAACTCTGACCGATATTCAANTTCAAGATCTTTCTTTATACGAGAACAAAATCGAAGTCCTGGAAAATTTGGACGAACTAAAAAAACTGAGAATCTTCTCCATCGGAAACAATCAGCTGTCTTCGATTAGCAATGTAAGGTCTTCATGAATGTAATTTAATATATTTAAAAAAAACCGATTTTTAAAATGATTTCGTCTCTTATAGATTCTATATCTGCGTAAGTTTGCAGATCTGAGGGGACTGACACTGAAAGGAAACCCGATTTCCGAACAGGAAAATTATTTTTCGTACGTTGTTTCCCACTTGGAACAAATAACCTTTTTCGACTACAGATACCTTCTGGACTCCGAACGTGAAGATGCTTTGGAACAAAACAGGTTAGAAAATTATTCTCTTCGTAATATAGTGTGATTTTTGATTCAATTCATTCGCTATGTTGAATTTAATCTTGGAGACTTTTAAATTCTAACAAAACTGTTTTTCAATTATGCATTTATAAATATGCTGCTCGAATTTCCTGAACACCGTCATGACTTTCAAATTCAATCCTCGAGCCACGGATTTATATCCCCAAAGTCTATGAAATATGTTCGAGCTTTATTGGATTGATTGCGTGTAAATTGTAAAAAAAATCGCATCCGGCTGAAATTATCATGTCATTTTAATTAATATATCACGGGAAAGTACTGTAGCAATTGCTTGATGTATTTAATGCGTCTTGCAATCTTCTCTTCATTGTAGCCAGCTGCTTTCCTCCTTACGTGCGAGTAATGACGAAAATTAATTTTCCCGCCAACCTAATCAAAATGAATTAGCTCTATAATTGCATTTTGAGCAGGCCCATCTGAAACATGAAAGTAAACCTTTTTCAAAAAGCAGGTTTCATCTGCACTCGTATTCCGCGCAAAGAACGTTTGTGTTTCAAAAATGAGGCTCAAAACAGTACTCTGAAAGAAACAGAAAATTTTTTTTTACGAGCATGAGCGTTTATTCGGAAAAAGGGCTCGTGTAATACTGTATCAACACACATTTCTGAGAAAATAAATACGAGAATGAGGACAGCATTTGAAGAAAAAGGAATCCCTCAACTTTTTCCTCGCAAGCGAAACTGTTCTTGCTTCTTCGAAAAGCGTTTGCAGCCATTGAATTGACACTTGAGAACCCTTGAAAAAACTGCGATCTCGCTGAATAAGACGGAATCCTTAAATTTACTTGCTCGGCTGTGAACAAATAATGTCTTATGTATATAGGATAGCAGTGGAGACTCTGACGAACGAGGAAAAGCGGTTCAACAAGGTCCTACAAAAGCAACGAGAAGAGGAGGAAAAGCGGAACTTGCTGACTTTAGCATTCGTCGACGTCATAACCAGTCCTTTGGGTCTCTTGGATTTCTTCGGGATTCCAGAAACCGTGAAGCAAAAGTGTGCTTTGGATAACTTCGAAGAGCTCTTCGGGCCGATAGTCGGGAAAACGCTTTCCAAGTAAAGTCTCCCAATTCTACTGACGGAGAATATTTATTTATAAAAAAATGGCTTCCATGGGTTATGCCATTTTATTTTCAGATTCTGGGAAGAAGGGAAAAAGGTGCTCCTGGTTGCTCAGGAAAAGGGACTGAAGGCTTATCAAGTGAGGAACTCCGACGTTCACAAAATCAAGGAATCGTTCAGTGCAATTGATAAGGAGAGTAGAGATGAAGCAACGAGGTACGTCAAATGTCAATGGATGCAGATGATTTTTAGTGAGAAAAAACTAAGATTTCCACTCGAAAAATACGAGTTGCTGAAATGCATCCTACCACAAGATTCGCAACTGCTGAAGAAATTCAGGAAAAATGCAATTATTGAAATGCTTAAAAATCACATTTCTTTGTAGATTGTCTTTGCGACAGTGGATAAGCTATTCAACCTCCTTCTATCAATTTTCTTAATCATTTTTGAGTTTGAATGAACCTTTGCAATTCATCTGCTATTAATATAAGGGGTATGCGAGAGATAATATGCTGTTGTACGCCCAAATAAGGAAAACATCACAGCTTAAAAAGTCGACATGGACAATTTTTCAACCTGATCTTTATACCCAAGCTGCTAAATGCCTCATCCCAGATTTCCCAAACCTTCTTTGGCCCGCGGACCGGCAAATTTCAAAAAATTTCGCGTACCCAAGATAATTTTGTTTTGAATACTTTACGGCAGATATTTTAAAAGTTTCTGCTTTTGTCTTGCAATAATTAAGACAATAACCAATGGAGCAGCTATAGTGAAATATCTTTTAAAAAAAATTAGATAGGTGGGGTCTAATAAGAAAGGTTCTCAGATTGAAAAATTAATACAATTTATTTCAGCTGCTAAAAATTTGTCTGAAGTGTTATGAGGAGAAAATGCAATTTTTTTCATAAGATGAATGAAACAATCAGAGTCTTTCCAAAAATTCAAACAAAGGTAACAGACTTAATTGCTAGTTAAAAAAAATCATTATGCAAAAGAAAATTTCCTGCGGACCGGCAAAAAACTTCTGCGGACCGGCGCCAGTCCGCGGACAACCGGTTGGGGAACACTGCCTTATCCGACGTAATTTCAATATTTTCTTCAATTTCTACACCGAAAGTCAACGCGTTCTCATTGCTTTTTGGACTATGCAGAATTCAAAATAAAAGGAAAATTGATTAATTTGAATTTCGATGATAGATTAAAGACAATTCAAAAATGTAAGGCTGACTTTTAAAGCATTTTCCGCTTTTTTTGAAACATTCCGAATCCGTTTGTTTCTAATGAAGAAGCTATTTTGCGAAAAAAAAATTACTGGCTTATTATAGCTACTCAATAAAATGCAGCTTTGCGGTTCAATTTCAAATGCAGTACATGTTTTCGATACCAGTGCAGATTGTGGGGCCCAAAAGAATACAAATGCCATTAAGAAAAAGTATTAGTAAGTCAGAAAGACAAAGAAACTGAAAAATTTCTAGCCAGACTGACCTCGAAAATAGTGATCGTAAATAAGACTTCGCGAGGTTTTGACAAACTTAAACAAAAATGTCAACATCGTTATTTGAACACGGCCTTTACAAAAAAATCAAGGTTGATGGAAGCTTTCAAAGAAGACTTCAGAGAAAACATCAAAGGTGTCGAAGAAATTTTCGCTGCGCGTGGTTTGGACCGGAACACGAGAAAATCGGAAGCGGAATCTAGCAGATCACCGACATCCGCCTCAAATGAAGAGTCACCCGACGATGAACAGTTGTCCCAGTTGGCAA